CATGGTGGGTGGCTTCACGAATACGGTGATAAACTTCAGCTAGGGGGGTTCCATTACTGATCCAGCTCGGAGATCGGCAAACGCCTTTTGGAATGGATCCGCCAGAGTCATCGCCGTTCAACTCCCAACCGCGGTCTGGCTATCCTACAACCACTACCTCATCAAGGCAGCTCCAGAGAAACTACGACCCGCATCTGAAGAAGAACATCTATCCCTCTCCGGGTGGCTTGAAGGCATTGGGCATGCCAAGAAACAGTTCGAGACGGACAAGGTCAAGGGCATGATCGACCTGAAGAAAGAGCAAGATACTCCACCAGAGGACGGTGAGGCCTCAGAGGACTATTGGACTCGGTTTGGGGACTACTGGATCAGAGTTCACGAAAAACCACGAACAACCTACTTCCATCCAGAAGATCCTGACGGACAACCAAGACCATTCCTTCTGGCAGCCAGCCAGAACGTGGACCGGAAAAATATGGTTCCGAATTCAGGAACAAAAACCAGATCAGGGGGTGAAGAGGCCGGACACGCTACCACCTCCCGCTCGACGAGTCCGACACAAGGCCACTATGGATGCGGATGGTGCTGAACGCAAAGAAGAAAAACAGGACAAAGTACCATTGGGAACACCAACAGTCAACGATGACACAATGGAGGGTGAAGAGAAACAGGAGTTAAATGCCCCTGCAGAATATGAAGAAGTGGAACCGGATCCACCTCCGGGACTTCTACCTCGCCAAGTGAAATTACCTAGTGATGCCTCGGCTGGACTGACGACATACCTCATCTTTGGCTCCTTCACAAACCTGGTCCCGTGGAGAAGCCGAGAAAAGACCAGGAAGTGAACATACAGAAGACCGTTGGGAAACCATTCCACCAATGAAGAAATCGAGACTGGAATTCCTATAGAGGCACTACATCTTCAACTTGGACCTCGAGGCGCCGCACGACCAGGCAAGAATCGAGATTGCTCCCTTAAAGACTTCCAAGGGAAAGACCTCGAAAGGTTCAAACAAGCAATCCACAAAGAGATCAGCAACAACTTGGGCACTGGAGCCTATGAGATCCTTTCTCCAGCAGAATCAGCACAGATCCGGAGATGCAAACAGGACAAAATCATGAAATCCCGCTATGTCTTCACGCGCAAACCCATCGAGGACTTTGCCCTGGAGGATGCGAAATCGGCGGACATCGTCCTGGACTTCTCCAACAACAAGGGTCCAACCAAGGCAAAGTGTAGACAGGTCATGATGGGATTTAGCGAGCCAGACCTTCTCAGCTTAGAGACGAGCACACCACAAGTCCATCGAGACTCCGTCATCTTCGCCACACAGATCCTGGCTTCCAAGGGTTGGCAACCTGGCTACGCGGACTTCACTCAAGCATTTCACAGTGGAGATGCGATCAATCGTGAGCTCTCTGCAGAACTACCCCGAGAAGGCATTCCAGGTGTTGAGCCGAACCAACTGATCAAGTTGAAAAAGACATGTTACGGGCTCACAGATGGTCCACCGGCCTGGTTCAAACACATCGTGAAGTACCTCACGAAGGAGCTGGGATACCGACAGTCAATTGTGGACACATGTCTCTTCTTAGGAGAACCTTTCCGAGAACCTCGAGGTGGAGGACACAGAATCCATCGAGGGCATCGTCGCCTTGGCAACCGATGATCTACTTCATGGAGGATCCCAACGACACTTGGAGCGCATGGAAACACTACGGAAAAGGTACACACTGGGAAAGTACACCTGGGGACAAGGACGCTTCGTTGGCAAGGACTTCACTCCATTGTCCGATGGCTCCATCCGTATTGACCAGGAGTTCTACGTGAAGGCCAGGGTACAAGAGATTCAAATCGCCAAAGATAGAAAAAGACGGAAGTACTCTCAATGCACTCCACTGGAAGTTGAGCTACTTCGAACTCTCCTGGGCACCTTGGCATGGGTAGCAAAAGAAACTCGAGCCGACCTAGCTGGCAAGGTCGCCCTGGTACAGCAATTCTTTCCAAGGCCCTTGATCCGAGATCTCCTCATGGCTAACCTCATCCCCAAGCAAGCCTTGACTAAACCACAACCCGCCTGGGGAAATGCTCGAGAATTCGGACAGTACCTGGAAGACTCCAAGGTGGACTGGTGGGAAGAACAACCAGGTCGATGGATTCGACATCACCACGTTCCAAGGATCACCAGCTTTCATCCAGCTGCGGCACCTGATGGACCAGATCTTCATGACCTACTACCTGATCGTCACACCGAGATTCAGATCAATGACACCAAGAACCTCCTCCAGGACGAGTGGACCTCTTCATCAAGTATAACCTCGTTGACACCTTCGCCATGGACGGGAAAGACCATCTTCAAGAAACAACCTCAAGGACACTGTCTAGAAGCAAAGTTGATCCATGGGGGCTACGACTACGAGCAACTTCTCAAGTTGTACAGCCAAGGGGGAGAGATCACCTTCTTCTATGACCGAGCACGTCCATTGACATCTCGCTCATCAAGCAGGAGGTCCACAAGATGAACGGCCGAGTGAGATGGGTAGATGGTCGTACGATGTTGGCAGATTCCCTCACGAAGGACGCAAAAAGCGATTTCCTTCGAGAAGTGATGTCCTCCGGGAAATGGAGCATTTTAGAAGAAGGGGCCGCGCTACAGCGCAAACTCGCGGAGCGAGGTAGAGGCCAAGAGATCTTTTTGATCTACAGCACCTTTTGACCAACATATATTGTGGTCGGTGCAATTCCAGAGGACCATCTTGGTCAAAAGCTGATGCCATAAACTTTGGCTCAAGCCGAGCACGCAATGGTCGAAAAGGACCGTAGGAACCCCTGGTTCCAGTGCCACTGCATCCGCAATAAAAAATATACTTGTAATATGTATATAGCAAGGAACTTACAATAGGATCCAAACCATCTATACCACTTTGCCTGGGATTTCATTTCTCAAAAGGATGAAACAATTGGCCAAATGGGTCCGAGCATTGTCGGAGCCCTACAAAGGAAATGCAAATCTGATTTGCAGACGCAATCCTGGCTGTTCTGGCGGGTGAACCCACAAACAATGCGATAGACCGCATTTCGACCGCGGCTGCGCCAGGTCATCCAAGAGGCGTTAAACCTGTGAACCCCACAAACACAAATCAACCAAGCGAACTACCAGGGATTGGTTTTGGGCCGTGTTTGGTATTGACATGCAAGCAGTGTTGCATCTTCCAAGATGCCCAAGATCCGCGACCTCACTTGTGTCTGCCGCCAGTAGGCCAAATGCCCTGCTGGAAGTGTCAGGCAACCAACTTGAAATATGGCTTCGGTCAAAACGTCTAAATGATTTTGTATGTTCCGAATTGCCTCTGCTAGAGCATGACGGCTGCCTTTCCCCCGTGGCTTGCGAACACCAATGCCCTCGCTCGCCTGGGATTCGCCTGTATCTGGCACGCCTCAGCCAAACGCCATGGGGGGGGTTCCCATGAGGGGGTCCATGGAGTCAGATACGAAGACGAGCCACTACCATAGTCCTGCGGGGTCATATGTATAGCGCGACGCGGTTATGTCTGCAGACGAATAAAAAGGAAGAAGAAACACATGGCCTTCGTACACCCTCTCTACCCCAAGATCACCACTCCTCCAAACAAATGGATTAGGCCTTCGTACAGGTTCATTTCTTGCTTGAAAGATCTTGCAAGTTATCGGTGGGTCATGGTGGGTCTCTGTGTTGGTTCCATGATCGAAGAACCAATCGAAGCTTTAAAGCGCAGTAATGGTCTTCCGCGCCGACGTGTCTCAAGGGATTGAAGCTGGACAGAGAAAAACGGCCTACTTGACGTGATTCTGAGATCTACCAGGCTCCACATCTGTCCAGCAGAAATGGATGTTCAATATCTGCCAATCCCTCTTATCCTCATCTTCACCAGACCCGCTCACTCCTGCCTGCTCGCCGCAGTTCGACATGGGTCACGCCAAGGTTCTAGCCCGAATGTGTGAGGGAAATATTCCAGACATCTCCTGATTGAAATCTTTTGAAATCGATACCTGCTTGGACACTGATCCTCTTCTTGGTTTGGCAAAAGGGACGTGTCTTCCAGCAGTGGTTGTGGCGGGATGAGCTTGCCTTGCTGTTCCACATGCCTCAGCGATTACAGGGAACTTGAACTGCCAAAGAGGTTGGGGCACGTTGTCTTGCGAGTCATTGCACAGCTGGCATCATTGGTTGGGAGATGTTCTTGCAAGGCCCGGGACAAAGAAGGGTGTACCTGAAAATGGGCCCTACATAGTCAAAGCAGTTGAATGTCATCATTTCAATGTGAAACCGTTCAACTGTCAACTCTTCCGCTTCTGTTTCTACGAGCCGAAAGCACATGCAGAATCGCAGATGCGCCGTGAATAGATTGCACACTAGCTCTATAGATGACAGAAGTGTTTGAGAAAAGCCACAAGACACTCAAAGTATTGCGCTACAGATTCTAACATCTGCATGAATCATCTTTGGGTGGTGCTTCCCGAAACACAAGCATCTGGGCACGGGTCGGATGACTCCTTCTTCACACCCTTCGTTTCCATACTGTTCGATACTTATGTCACTTATGTCATATGTCACAACTTGTCCTTTGAGTCCACTTATCCTTCCAAAACACGCTGATCCTCTTTTGTTTGGCATCGGCTGCCGGGGAGCTCCGGTGCAACGTCTGCCCCAGGCCATCTTAGCCACCGGGGAGCTCCGCCGAAGGAAGGCCACGTTGAACCAACACCACCCCGCGATGCCACGGTAGATGCCTGTGACTGGGTGTGCTTCTTCTTCTGCGGGTTGATGTTTGGGTCACAAGAAAATGCTGCACCACTCAGAAAAAGGAATATCTATGTGATGTGTATATATATATAGTATAGTATTGTTTAATATAATGTATTAGTATTATATTATAGTATTAGTAAGTATAAGTATTAGCATTCGTATTCGAATTAGTATAGTTGTGAGACTCTTGATTGTCAGTTACCTTCTTGACATGAGGCCCACTAAGAAGGATGGTGCCACCTAGGCCTGTTTGTTGGTCACTGTGGCCCCAGATGAGCCATGCTTGCAGTTCAGCTGCGTGCGTGTGGCTGTGCACAGATCTCGTAGAGGTCGTGCCACCACTCCATCTGAGGGCCACTGATGGGCAAAAAGCATTTGGTCCCCAGGAAGTATCCATCATAGCCCACGACGGACAGATCCTGGCATTTTTGGACTTGTTGCTTTGGTCGGTGGAGAAAGATGTTCCGTGGAATAGGCGTTTATTCCACAAGTATCAACTCCACCCGAGGACGAGAGCCTCCGGGGTAACGAAGACGCACTTGAACGAGATGGTACACAATTAATTGTTGGAAACCAGTCTTTGGGGAGAAGTTCCCATCCCGCCCCAAAAAAAAAAATGCAAAAATTTGATGCCGTCTGCCACGCCGAGCAGCTTTGGCCAGGCGCTTTAGCTTGGCATCTGCCCAGAAATGGGAGTATTCCTCAATCGTTGCGAGGCAACAACGTTTGAAAGACGGGTCCAAAGATTGGAGCCTAGCTGTACGATGCTGCCAGGTGATGCGAATGTGTAGTTCTTGCTATTGTACATAGTCAATCATTTAGTTGGCACAGGGCGACCTGATTCCCAATCATCAGAACAGTTGAACAAAGAAAATAACAAGCCCGTTGGGGTTGTGGGGAAGTGCACTGTGACGGTCCAACAAAATCGACGAGGAGATCTTGGCCATCCGAAACTGACCAAACAAAGCTGGACAACAAGACTGCCCCAGCCCCTGTGCTGACCAAAAGCAGGACAACATTTGTCAACAAGCGCACCCAGCAGGATTGTGTCATTCGTTTGCTGACTGTCAGTCGTCAAGATCTCAATGAACTACTAGATACGAGTATAGGCCGACAATGCCATAGAATGCCAGTGTAACATAGTGTAACTACAACCTGCCCAGAAAACCTCGAGACCTGGAAACGACCCAAAAATGCGGAGTGGCCTAAACCTTAGTATTTCCTGTGGTGTTCCTCTTCAAAAGCATTAATTTAAATTACTTTACTTCGAGTGATCCCCACCATGACATTTCAAAACAGCTTGTTGACTCCACTTTTGTCTGAAGCTTTTGTCACGCGACTTTTGCGTAACTAACTATCCCGATAATTTGTTTCACCTGGCAGGTCATTGTGCATGTCAGTCTGTCAAACAGTATATAAACATGTCAGTGGGCCATGTGAAGTACACTCCAGAGCTCTCAACAGGTTTGCTTAAACATGACCAAACATGGCAGTTGACATTCTATCTAGCATATCTTCTGACATTCTATCTGGCATATATCTTCTGACATTCTATCTGGCAACATTCTATCTGGCATATCTTCTGACATTCTATTTGACATATCTTCCGACATTCTATCTGGCATATCTTCTGACATTCCATTTGACATATCTTCTGACATTCTATCTGGCATATCTTCTGACATTCTATCTGGCATATCTTCTGACATTCTAGTTGACATATCTTCTGACATTCTATCTGGCATATCTTCTGACATTCTATTTGACATATCTTCTGACATTCTATCTGGCATATCTTCTGACATTCTATCTGGCATATCTTCTGACATTCTATTTGACATATCTTCTGACATTCTATCTGGCATATCTTCTGACATTCTATCTGGCATATCTTCTGACATTCTATTTGACATATCTTCTGACATTCTTATCTGGCATATCTTCTGACATTCTATCTGGCATATCTTCTGACATTCTATTTGACATATCCTCTGACATTCTATCTGGCATATCTTCTGACATTCTATCTGGCATATCTTCTGACATTCTATCTGGCATATCTTCTGACATTCTGTCTGGCATATCTTCTGACATTCTAGTTGACATATCTTCTGACATTCTTATCTGGCATATCTTCTGACATTCTTATCTGGCATATCTTCTGACATTCTATCTGGCATATCTTCTGACATTCTATTTGACATATCTTCTGACATTCTATCTGGCATATCTTCTGACATTCTATCTGACATATCTTCTGACATTCTATCTGACATATCTTCTGACATTCTATCTGGCATATCTTCTGACATTCTATCTGGCATATCTTCTTGCAGCATTCTATCTGGCAATCTACTTGGCATTCTATCTGGCATTTTATCTGACAAACTATCTGGTTGAGGTCCAGCGGTGCACACTGCGATCGGATCCTTGCGGTTGAG